AAGAACTCATCTCCGTTCACAGCCGGAGTGTGCGCCAACGCACGCTTTTCCAACACCTCCCACCTATCCTCCAGACACGAAGGCGAACGCCCAAAAGGGGCTTCCATGGACAGCTGCTCATCCTTGTACACCTGTCCTGACACTACCGGGAACTGCTTCAACATGGAGTCTCGAACGGCTATCTGCACTTGCTCATCCGAAGGCTTGAATGCGTGATGAGAAACCATGACAGTCATGGTCAAAGCCTTAAAGCGACGAATGTACTCTCCGTAGGTCTCGCCGTTGGACACGCCAAAACTACGAAGACGATCAATCCCCGAGCTCTTGTCTTGAGTGTCCCAGGCAGCCGCCAACTTTTGGATGAAGAAGGCATACGTCGAAGGCCCAGCTGGTTCCTTGCGCAGATGATTTTCTACCTGCTGAAAGGTGGCATCGAGGAATTCCATGGTGGCACGGTTGGTGGTTTGGCCTTCAAGAACCGCAGAGGCGAACACGTTTGCGCAACAAGGAAGCCATCCGCGGACCCAGGTGGGGGAGGTGAAAGTCTGCTGTTTCTTGACATCGCTTTTGTCGAGAATTTCGATGACCACCGCCTGGCAGCTAGACGCGAAGCGAGCAAATTCATCAGGGTCGGGGCCAAGGGGCAAGCGAGTAATACTGTCAAGGGAATCCGGCTTGAGCTTGTCCATCTTGTCTTGAATGCGAATGATGTCAGCCTCCGCTGCAGAGGCGTCCGCAGCATCCAAAGCGTCTTGTCTCGCTCGTGCTCCCGTGGAAGAGAGAGGCAAACCAGCGTCGTCCCGGGCCTGCAACGATGCGCCTGGCCCCGGCCTCGAGACAACGGTGTCAGCTGTAAGGACGGGTTGAGACGTAAGAGACACACGCTGAAGGGGGGGGGGGGGCTCCTGCAAAGGTTGCGAGAGGGAGGCCGCGGCGACTGGAACCGCCATCTTCTCCTCCGAACGCGGTGCCTCCTGCGCCTTGATGGATGCGAGTCCTGCAGGTGTCCCTGTGCCTACTGTAGCGTCAGAAAAAATCGAAGGATGGCCCCGCCCCGGGACCAACTCCGTTCGTGGCGAAATAGATGAGGCAAGCGGCGGTCTAGGTGCTGGTTGAGGCGCAAGCGGTTGCACATCGGCGTTGGCGTCGACATCCACAACATGGCCCGGCGTTTGGGATCGAAGGAGCGAAAGTACTTGTTCCAACAGCATTTCAGTACGGGAAGCAGAAGTAGACGCTTGTGAGGGCGTACGGTGTGGCGAATCAGCACGGTCTCTCGGAGGCATGGAAGGCACGGGGGGGTCTTGAACAACAAGGGGCGGGACAGAACCTTTCACAGCAACTGAATGATCTCGGAGTTGCATGTTGGCTAACTTGAACGCCAGAGAATGCATGGAAGGGGCGGCTCTAACAGCAGGCGCACGAGGAGCGTGAGGGGAAAAACCAAGAGAATCGTCCTCCGAAGCTTCTTTGTCTTCTCCCAACAATCCCGAGCTACGAAAATCGTCCCGATCACACCTCACTTGCCTGTTTCCTTGGTTGGACTTCCGTTCTTCCTGTCCCCCCCTGTTGCGACCACGACCGCCCGCCCTGAGTGGTTCCCGGCTCCTGTTCCGGCCCGGGCTCCGGCTCCGGCTGCTGGTGAGTCGAGACGACGACGACCTGTCATGTCCGCCATCCCGGCGATGGTCGCGACGGCCGTTCCGGGGGCTCCGGCTCCGGCTCCGGCGTTGGCGCGAGTGCCAATCCCCGCGAGCTCTCCCACCTTCGTTACCCTGCACCCGACCCCCGCGAGCTCTCCCACCATCGTCACGCCGCGCCCGACCCCCGCGAGCGCTCTCACCATCAGACACGACCGAACCTTGTGTGCCCCACCGGTCCTTCCTCGAAGCTTTGGTCGACGCCGCTTGGTTCCCGCAATGTTTCTCGTTAAGCCGGGGAGAAACTTGCTGCCTGAAGCGTGAGTCCTTCCCGATTGATCTGGCAAACGGGATCTGGTCCGGCCCAGTAACGAGAGAAGAGCCCTGCTGGCCCTCCTTAAATGTTGCGCGCCTGAGTGCGGTCAGAAGGCGTATACGGTCGGCACGGGGGGGGGGGGGGAGTGTTCCCAGATACCAATCATTGAAGACGCACGCGAAGGACGCCCTGGAGTCCGGGAAGGAAGGACCGGCGGTGCCCTGTGCCGCCGATAAAATCCAGCGAGCCTCGTGTTCGTCCTCTTGGTGAAAGAAGATGTCTGCCGCTGGCGTATCGAGGGGGCGACCGAGAAAGGCAACGTCGGCAGCAAGGAATTGGTAGTAGAGCGGGGATGTGGCAGCTGACCGTGGGTTGTCGAGGGTGACCTCAAAGCTCGTAGCAGGTCGTGGATGCGTCGATGCTGCCTTCTGAGACGGCGACACGTCGGGGCTGGGCGAACGCGGAGAGGTGACGACCCGGCGAGGAGCAGAGGCGGCAGGCAGTACGTGGGGGGGGGGGGGGGGGGGGGGGGGGGGGGGGGGGGGGGGGGGGGGGGGGGGGGGGGGGGGGGGGGGGGGGGGGGGGGGGGGGGGGGGGGGGGGGGGGGGGGGGGGGGGGGGGGGGGGGGGGGGGGGGGGGGGGGGGGGGGGGGGGGGGGGGGGGGGGGGGGGGGGGGGGGGGGGGGGGGGGGGGGGGGGGGGGGGGGGGGGGGGGGGGGGGGGGGGGGGGGGGGGGGGGGGGGGGGGGGGGGGGGGGGGGGGGGGGGGGGGGGGGGGGGGGGGGGGGGGGGGGGGGGGGGGGGGGGGGGGGGGGGGGGGGGGGGGGGGGGGGGGGGGGGGGGGGGGGGGGGGGGGGGGGGGGGGGGGGGGGGGGGGGGGGGGGGGGGGGGGGGGGGGGGGGGGGGGGGGGGGGGGGGGGGGGGGGGGGGGGGGGGGGGGGGGGGGGGGGGGGGGGGGGGGGGGGGGGGGGGGGGGGGGGGGGGGGGGGGGGGGGGGGGGGGGGGGGGGGGGGGGGGGGGCTGAGCGGCCGAAGTCTCGACGGGGCGAAGACGATTCCTCCTCTCTTCGAACTCGTGGCGAGCCTTCACCGTGTCGTTGTATAGTTGCCTCCTGGCCGCTCGCCGCTGTTCTATCGCGCGCCTCTCCGCTTCCTCGCGCTCCCGCTCCCGTTGCACGGCCCGCGCAGCTTCTTCCTCCCTCTCCCGCTGAGCTGTTAGCTCCCGAGCCTTCCGAGCGGCCTCCTCTTCTCGGGCCCGTTGCTCCGCGTCCTCCGCCGCCTGGTCGAGCTCAGCCTACAGCCGCTGGTCGAAGATGGTCTGAAGTTGTGTCCACGCGTCTGCTTCATCGTTGGACATCTCCACGAACTCCTCCTCGTCTAGGTCAAAGTCAACAGTGAATACACAAGGGGGTGGGGGGAGGAAAGGCGGGCCGCGTCCACAATGTCCCGGAGGGTGATGCTGCCCGAGCGGTAAGCTGCAGCCAGAGCCTTGGGGCGGGCCGCCTCGATGTCGCGAAGAAGGCCCTGTCCATAGACTTCACGACGGTCCGGGGAAGACTGGGATGTGTCCTCCCCCTGTGAAGACTGGGACGCGTTCTCCACCTCCTCTTCTTCAAAGTCCATCAGTTCCTCCGACTTCTCCGACATTTCTGCTTCTGAAAGAAATGCGAGAGAACCGGGGTATTCCCGATCACGAGTAGAAACAGCAATGGCGGGGGCCACGGCGGTGGGGGCAACAGCAGAGCCAGGGACAGCAGAGCCAGGGACAGCAGAGCCAGGGACAGCAGAGCCAGGGACAAANAGGCCCTGTCCATAGACTTCACGACGGTCCGGGGAAGACTGGGACGCGTCCTCCCCTGTGAAGACTGGGACACGTTCTCCACTTCCTCTTCTTCAAAGTCCATCAGTTCCTCCGACTTCTCCGACATTTCTGCTTCTGAAAGAAAAGCGAGAGAACCGGGGTATTCCCGATCACGAGTAGAAACAGCAATGGCGGGGGCCACGGCGGTGGGGGCAACAGCAGAGCCGGGGACAGCAGAGCCAGGGACAGAAGACGCGGTAAAAGTGGGTGCAACGGCCGGAGGGTTCTGCCTGGGTCCAAACGGAAAGCGAAGATATCCGCAAGAGAGCATACGCCCGGCCAGAAAAGCTTGATGTACCCTTGGTTGAAGCGGATCCAACCAATCATAAAAGGCATCCAGAAGCACTCCATGCCATGTACCAACAGCAGTAGAAGCTAGCACAAAAGGGCCTGTGTCTTACGAGGAGACTAGTGTGTCTGTCCAAAACTCGCGCAGCGCAGCACGACGTTTTGCCGCAACAGGCGCTGAGGTGCGGGGAAAGACCGCAGTGGGTTTGCGCGGCAGCAAAGGCTTTAACTCGAGGTCTTTTACATGCATAGCCGATGGCCCAAAAAAAAAAGTGAGTTGTTCTCGAAAAATGAAGGGCAGATCGGTGGTGTA